TGCCCTATGACAATGGTTAACAATCTCACAACACATCAACAATATCCTTACTCAGCCTTGGGTTCCCTATCACCAGCTTCCTTGTCCCCTCTTCTGAGAAGCAAATACTTTAAATGAAAAAAAATTAAAATGAAGGTATGGTGTACATTTTCTTCATGCTGGAACAAATACTGAAAAAGCAGTGATTGCTTATGTTGTATCTGATATATTTCACAACCAAAATTTAAATAAAGGTAAAAGTTACAATAAATAATGAAAAAAAATATGGAGTGAGACAGTGAGAATAGTGGCACAACGGGAAGAATGTAAGCAATGTCACTGAATTGTACGTGTAGAAATTGTTGAATAGGTGTATGATATGCTGTGTATATTTTCTCCAACTTTAAAATATTTTTTAAAAAGATATACTGATCCATTTATAACACAGAAGTGAAAAACAACACATATAAAATGATCTCATTTTTCTACATGTACATGTAACCTAATTGTGCCAGCCTTCATCATCCTGTGAATGTCACATTTCCCTTCTTATGGTCAAATTATTAAGGTATAAGACTAGACTGGCTTAAATGCTAGTTATTAGTTGTCCTCAAAGTATCCCTCAAGTTATTTCTGAGTGTCCTGTAAAAGGACGCCTCATATAATGGCCACTAAATCTATCAGTCACACTCACCATGCAGGATCATCTTCCTGCCCTGTCTCTCACTTTACCATCACCACTGCACATGGCCTCATGGGAAAGTCAGCTGAAGGAATGAACTCCAGACTCCCAAAGCTTCCAAGCCTTGGGAAAGAACGGTCTCCTTCCCACAGTCAGAAGTTCCCAAGCTGGCCAATGGATGCAAACAGGTGTTGGGGAAAGGGTGAGAGGTTTGTGCTAGGAGCCTCAATGTTCCAGTACAGGGCCAAAAGTGCCCTGCTATATATAGATTTGCCAAGAAAAAGGTCTGGAAGGGTATACACCAAGTTGTCAACAGTGGTTATCTTTATATAACAGTATTCTGGGAGTTTTTCCTTTTCTTTTTCCTTACCTATGACTTTATAATTTTCTCCAGTAAACAGACTTTGGTTTTGAGGCAGGAAAAAACAACTTCTCAAATTAAAAAATGAAATATTTAAGTGACAAATACACTACACATTACCGGGAAATATTTCCATAGAGAAAACTGTAATAACTTCTGAACAAATATTCAGTCATCTGTTCTACAATTCTGCCCCCAATACTAAGTATCCTCCTGTCCCACTGTTACTTACATTCCTGAAGACATTCTGTGTCTGTGCAGTAGGACTGGGACTGCCTCAACTACAATGAATAAGAAGAAAGGAAAGTTAGCCACTGGACTCAACCAAAAGCAGACAATATTCATTAGAAAGATTCATGTTCTGTTTTTTAATGAATGCTACCACAATGTATATCATACTTTCAAAATCAGATATAAACACAGACTACATTAAGAGGCTGTTCAGTTTTGGAGGACTTTTTTCTACCCAGAATAATTTTCAAATATACTGTAATCTGGTACAATTCATCCATTTAGATTAGGGAATTAAAAAAAAAAAAATCACCTGTGGTAGAAACTCCTGCTGCCATATGTAGGTAAGCTTCCCAAAGGAAGAGCGCTAAATTGTAGAAGAGCGCTACCAGAAAAAGGGTGAACTTTATTAATGAGCTTTTCTTTTTCTTCTTGTTAAAAATTAGAAGCAGATAGAAAAAAAAAGATTCTATCTGTAGAAAATGCACCTTTGAAAGGGGAAAAAATATATATGTATAGATACATGTATATTTGCTTATTTCGGCATAAAGAAACTAATGAAAGTATTACTGTAAGGGGAACGGAAGACAGAATAGGGAAGTAGAGTGGACTATGACAAGAAAGGGAACTAATTTTTCAATGTATATTTTTTCATATAATTTGGTTTGGAACCATGTGATTATCAATTTTAAAAAGAAAATTAAAAAAGAAAAAATTCACCTGTCGAACATATGTCATACTTTTATGAATGTACACCTCATGCTGAGGCCTTTAGGATGTTAAAAACGATAATCTCATTGCTGGGCAGAGGGCTGTGGGGACCATGGTCTCGGGGAACATCTAGCTCAATTGGCATGACACAGCTTATAAAGACAATGCTCTACATTCTACCTTGGTGAGTAGTG